AAACATCGTATTTTATTGCATTTCTCAACTGGCATGTTATATCAGAATTATTTATAATGTTTTTGTCGTTCTAGATTATGAAATGCCTGCTGACAGCGCAGTTTATCTATGCCTTTACACAGAACTATATTCAAACTGCGATCGCTCGTGGAGATAATAAATGATTAATTTCCATAGAGTTGTATCTATTTAGATGTTTATTAGCGAAATAATGGTTATATAGTAAATGTTAATACAATTTAGGGTGTTTTAAACAAGTGAATCTTGTTAAAAGTTACATGCTGTGGCTGTGCTGGAGCATTTCCTGAGTATCAACCCGGTGAGTGAACAGCAATATGAAAGCGGCTTCACAAGACTAATGATGAGCATAGACAACAGACATAATGATGAGCATAGACAACAGACAGAGAATTAAATTTAGCGTTTTTATTTCCAACATGCGCCCATTCATGGCTGCATATTATTTAATTCACGCAAAGTTACGTCTTTATTGGGACAGGACTTGACGGATTATTTTACATGACTCCGTGAGTTCGTCTCTATTTTTTCGAGCCAAGCTGCATAAACGGCATATCAGGCATTTATGTAATACATCTCATTTGTGCATTAATGGCTGTTATGTTAAATAAAGTTTACTAACTACAGTAAATCAAGTACCCGTGCACGCCGTTGTTGTTGTCTTGTTTCCCCTCAGATGCGCTGCAATGGTGATCCTGCGCGCAATTCTCAAAACATCCCCAAGATGGCGGCGTTTATCTGTGAATCTGATATTACAAAACCGATATCCGATTATTGTAAAATGCTTAAATATCGGGAGAAATATTGGTAAATCGATATATCGGTCAATCTCTAATTAGAATGATTTCTGAAGGATCATGTGACACTGAAGACTGTAATGGCTACTAAAAATTCAGCTTTGCCATCATATACAGTGAAGTAATTTTATATATACAGCTTTGCAAGCTACAGGAAGTAGCTCTATTAGCTCTATTTCCTCTGTCTTTCTTGACCTGTCTCTCAATCTCTCTCTGTTTGCTCTATAACAAAAGATCTAATTAGAGCCGTGAGCGGCGGGGCCAATGCGAGTGCTCTAGGATCTCCCGCTTCCAGGGATTCCTGAGCAGCGGAGCTGATCTGTGTCCCCAGAGCCCCTGCACGCATCAGACGTCTGAGTACACATCAGCGGCAGATTAAATCCACTCAGTGGAAAGCAGCACATTCCTCGGCTCGACCACGGGGCACAAATGACATGCATGACAGGACCGAGACCAAGCACAGCGGCTCGCAGGGGTCTTAATCTTTACTTAAAAACAGAGGAGTGTTTGTTGCACGACTGTTGTGATGTGTGTCCACTGCTACTGCATTTATTTCAAACGGATGGTTGTACCTAAAGGCGTTCCAGAGGACTGGGAATGCTTTGGCGGGTGCATTTGGGTTAAGATTCACGACTTTGAGGGCCTCTCGTAATTGGGGCAAAGTTTAACTGTTATTGGTATTGGGTCGCCTCACCATGACCACAATGACCCCATGGGGCCCCAGGGCTTTCATAATGTCCTGTGTGCAAGTCAGATGTCGGCAGATCTTAACATCTGTAACTGTTCACAAACCAGAAAAGGGCAAGTTGAGTTTATGAACAAATATTAGTGACTGGCTAATCTACTGACCTACTGTCTGGATGTGGTTGATCTGGCAGACAAAATGTTTTCAAATATTAATAAACAGCAAAGTAATTTTGTTCAAATTTGTTACTGTAAGAAATAATAATAAAATATTATACCAAGCTACAATTTTTTACTAATATTTTCTCTTCTAATTGTCCCAAATGAAATATCAAAATGAATGTCATGAATTCAGAAATGTAAAAAAAATGTTCACCATAAAAACTGTCATTATATGTACATTATGTCATTATTAGATCAGACCAAAAAAATAAGCATTATGTGTTTTAACGCCACACTGGAATGGAGAACACCTGATACTATGTGTATATCAGGCCTCAGACAGGAAACCCGGGTCGGTGTCACTGGGTTCAGCATTTGTGGGAATGAATGAAAGAGTATCAGGTGTGCTGCAATACACACAACGTGTGGCATCTTTATCTGTGTCTGACAGAAGGCTAAAGTCACTATCAGACCATCTTTACCACAGAGACTAAGGAGAGCAGTGTGGGGTTATCTTCCACTCTGATAAATACAGATAAAGCTCAACCTGCTGTTTGAGAGTCCAAGTTTAAACTGCATGGCCATCAGTCAAACCCAAACTAATAAAACTGAAATAATGATGGCCTTTGGTTGGCGAAAAATTGATGTCATATGTCAACTACAGCAATAAATATTTTATTTTGACATATGGCGTGACACTAGTTGGGTGTTCACCAAGTGAAAGTGTGAGGACATTCTGTGCGAAAACAAAAATGCACAAACATGCCTGATTTTATGAATATTTATTGGTTGTTTGAGCTTAAAAAATAGTGCTTCTAATCCATCTGTCTATCTGAGCAAAGCTGCTCCTGGCTGATCAGTTTGACAGTGTCGAGCCGGAGGTTATGGAGGGAAGGTCAGGGTCAAGCTGCATTAAGCAGCCCTTCTTTTCTGCACAGGAAGACCTTGTTCTTCCACAAATTAAATAAAGGCTTGGTATGTAGAGCTGGCAGATGTTTCTAACCTGCTCTGCACTGCTCTCAACAAGCCTGAGGAAGTTCATTAAAGAGAAATTTCACCAAAAAAGGAAAAAAAATCTGTCATCATTTATTCACCCTCATTTTGTTTTACAGTACACTCATATGACTCTCTTTCTTGTGAAGAACACAAAAGCACTATAATTCTACTATATGTCTTTCACATTAAGCAGTTGTTCACACAGAAAGTGTTTTTGCATCCCACTGCACTACTTTTCAATTTTTTTTAATGTAAACCTTTGCTAGATGGACATCTTTTACAGTTGTGATCGCATCTTTTGCAATGTTTCACACATGACATGGCGTTTCAAATGCGCTGCATTTTTCACTTTTAAAAAACTTGTCTTCAATACCCTACACTTTTTCCCATTTCACATTTTTTAACACGAAAACGCACTCGCTAAATGAACGACTTTCACCACTGTGCTCGCATCTGGATCTTTTTCAGTGTCTCGGGCATGACACGCATTCTAAAAACCCAATGCTAAGTTCAAATTTTAAACAACGTTTTTTTTTTTTTTTTTTCTTCATTCCACTGCTTGCGTTGTGCATTTTTCAATGCAAAAATGCATTCTGTGCTAATTTAAAATTTTAAACAACGTTTTTTTTTTTTTTTTTTTTCTTCATTCCACTGCTTGCGTTGTGCATTTTTCAATGCAAAAATGCATTCTGTATCAAGACGATTCCTGTACTATATTTCAAATCTTCTGGAACTATACAAGGAAAAGACCCAAATTTTGCTCAGTTACACATATTCAATACATATATTAATCAATGACGCCAAACGCCACTGGTTCCTAAGTGCCTCGTGATTGATTGTGATGCACAGAATTTGAATATGTTCATTTTCAATGGATTTTACTTTTATTTTGCTTTTCATAATTTTTTTTGTCATCATTTGATTCTGTGGAACAGGGCTCTACAGTGCCACGCACGCGGTGGCCATTGTAAGTCCGTGAGACCGCAAGTGCACATGAAGTGTTCCATTTGGGACAGGGCCAAAGACAGCAACGTGCTTCGTTCCTGAATGAATCAGCCAGTTTTAGTTTAAAGGCACAATATGTATGTTTTCTCCGCTAGAGGGCGTGTATTCAAAACAAACAAAGAAACAAAGGCGTAGTTTGATGACGCCGTGACTGAGTGTGGAATCGTGGGAGTTGTCGTCTTCATCCCCACAGCCGATGCGATCCGATGGGACTCGGGCAGAAATCATGTTCATGGATGAGCTAATGATTTATTAACGTAGTAGAATGAAGCAGGGTGAGGCTGAAAGGCGTCGAAGCAAAACGAGGCCGCTGAACGAGCGTGACACATGTAAGGCTCGAAAGCAGCGGAGCTTTTATTAAGCCACAGTCGACCGCTTTCCGCTCCTTCCGGTCGTGCGTATGTGTGGTAAAGCAGCGCTGTTTTATCATCCTAGATACATTTGAAAGTTCTGTTATAATGCTACTCTGTGCGGTCGTCACCGGTCTATCAAAACGCACAACATATGTTTTCTACGAAACAAAACCGGAAATCGAGGGTGTATGATGTCATTGGCAGGCGACACAATGACACTATGATATGTTTTTGGATATTTTAATAAAAAAATCTTACATATTGTGCCTTTAATGTTTAAAGTATCATTTCAGTAATTTAAATCATTTAATATTTCAATATTCAAAATTGTATATTTAAATCATTAATCTCTACATGAATTTATGAATTTAATTGCACTCATGCCACCTCTGAGCCTCATGTCTGTAAATAACATACCTACATGCCACTTTTGTGTTCTTCTGTGCCACCTCTGTAGAGCAAATGCATTTTGTTAATACTGATTTCATTTTGATCTGAAACTTGTTCTTCTTATTCTATTGTTTTAATTAGAAATTTTGAAAAAAAAAAATATATAAATATACATTTTTGAATTTAATGTCATAAAAGATGACATACTTTCAATAAAAAAAAAAAAATGCCAAAGGTAAAAAAAAAAAAAAAATGCCCCTGTAAATCACTTTAAGGAGTCAAAAATCACCTCATAATGGGAAGGCTAATTTTTGTTATTGATCAGAAGGTGCTTTTTTTTTTTGACTGTTCATCACTCATCTTTTTTTTTTATTTTTTGACTGTGCTCCTAAAAAGAAAAGTAAGCGTAGAGCCCTGTGGAAAAGAGCAGCATGAACATTCTACTAAATTTATTTTTTTTGTGGTTCACAGAACCAAAGAAAGAAAGTCATTCAGGTGAATAAATTATGACAAAAAATTCATTTTTGGGTTCTATTCCTTAAATAAATATAAATATACATAAACCAAAAGGAAAGTCTCAAATAATTTCACTCACCTGTGTTGTTCAGCAGCTTCACCATCAGGCAACTCCGTATCACACACCTCACATCTTTCTTTCTGGGCTTGGACCTCATGCTTCACATTCGCTGTGAAATCCCCGAGCTTGCTTAAGAACTCCCTCTGAATCAAGCTCTGATGGAAGAGCCCCCCATAGGCACTGAAATCCATCGACATGGCCAGGGAGGACGGCACATGTAGCGACGAGGCCATGGACACAGGCAAGGGCAGCATGCTTTCACTCTTATGGTTGGACGGGATAGAGCACAGTGAAGCGAAATGTCTATCAGCCAGACTGGCCATATTGACCAGACCCACTTGAGTGTTGTCTCCTTGGGAATCAGCAGAACTATCGGCTGAGTGGAGCTCGCGAGCACTGGTGATGACGCTACCTCTGGTCGGGGTTCCAGGAGTGTCCCGGTGCTGCCTGGAGTCACCTCCACCATCCCCGTTCCTGGGGAAGCCGCCTTTATGTTGGTAGTCCTCGTCTACCTGCATCATCTCAGTCTTGATTTTATCTAGCAATGGAGATGAGTTACCAAGGTTATTTGAGAAACTCTGGGTCATGTTTTCCTGGAGGACGGACTGTCCCATGCTCATCAGGCCCTCTATAGCTGCTTTAGTCGGGCTGACGGTTGAAAGACCCCGTTGGGTGGACTCTGAAGATCTCTTATCGACCGTGCTGACCAGGGCCAAGCGATGACGATGGCCGCCGTCCTGTATGGAATGCTTTTTAGACATGAAAGCGCTCTTAAGGTATTTGATCCTGTGGTCATCGGCATCCTCTGCGCCGTTCTCGTTCATGTTCACATCCGTGTCGTTCTCTTCGGACGCCTGGATGGTTTCCAAGATCTTCAGACATTGCTCCTCCAAGTATTCGATCTCTAAAATCTCTGCGGCGTACAGCAGGTCGTCCAGGTCCTCCAGCTTGGCCTGGAGCGTGGCGGTGTAGGCGTACTCCAGAATCTGCTGGAATGTCTTTGGTGAGAGGAAGTCCAGAGTGTAATGTTGGCTGTTGCGGTGGAACAGGATCTCAAACATCTTACTAGCACATGCGAGCACGGTTCTGTGGGCATGAAACTCCTGGCTGTCGACCATGATGACCACATCACACAATGTCCCAGAGAGGCGCATCTGGTTGGCCTTCTGCAGGAGCGATGTGGGGTGGCCGGGGTTCTGGAGGTGGATCGCACCCATTTTCGTCAAATCCATTACATCGACATTTATCGAACCATCTCACGGATTTGCTTCTCTCCTTGAGTGCTCCTGTAAATGTCATTCAGTCATGTCACAAAAACAAGAATGAGTACAAAATACACTACGTCAAATGTGCAATGCTCGGTTTATTCATCTCTGTTACACCCGTCATGTTAATAATCACTCAAACAGGTTAACTCAGTGCTTTGAGAAAAAGTCAAAGGGGTGTTGTTGTTGCTGAGGCACAAGCCAATCGTCACAACATGTACTTAATGTTACGCAATGGCAGCAATAGTAGTGGAAAGCTGCCAGGAGAAACTGAACCAACAGCATTTGGCACATGCTTGAGAGGAACTTGCATTTATGATACAGTTCTTCAGGCAAGAAACAATTCGTTTTAATTGTACCTTTAATTTTGTATTAACACCCAAGGACATTCCAACAGTAGAGAAGAATAAAAACTCACACCAGGAGTGACATTTTAATCACATATCTGTTGTGACAGGTACAGCTGCACTATAAAAAAAATGATAAGACTAATTGTCTAAAAGCAGTTATATATTATGTACAGATCAGCTAACACCAATACAGATTTTTATGTTTAACTGTTAAACGTAATAACGATTCACTTTTTTTTCTGACACAATGATAACTAATAATGATAGTTTAACTAGTATTATAAGCATTTTGTAAAATCTCACTGAAGCAGAAATGGTTGTGTAAAAAGCTAAACCATTTATTAAAATAACATTGAAATATGCAATAATTTAACCTGTGAATATTTAATACAAACAGACTGATAAAACAGTTTAGTCAGGTTTTTAAAGCCATATTCACAGTTTTCTACTTAATCTCCTTTGGACTCAACAAATGGTGCCATTTAATGCTAGCCTTTATATTAAAAATGGATAACTGATTAACAGTGTGAATATGGATAAAGCAACATCTGTCAACCCTATTATGGGTCATTAACATTTAATATTTATAGTGAAAATATATATATATAAAAAACATCTTATTACTGGTCTTATGTCAAACCTCAAGATTGGATTTTATTTTTTTGTGCGTGAGTGAATTGCATTTCAGTAAAGGCATCAGTTATTCTTAAAAATCTTCCGTTGGAAGCCTACTGTGCTCTTCATTTAAGAACAAGGATAAAAAGGGAACAAAAGGTACGGATGCACCTTGTCCTTCATGACAAACCTGAAAAGGTTGAACACTGATCTTCCAGCCTTCAAATCGCACAAATAAACCGAAACCGTGAGTTACAGTTTATTGGAACCACATAGCCTATGTATCGACCTTTCTATCTTTGACTATGTTAAATTTACGATAACAGTACGCTTGCTAAATATGACAGCATAAGCAACAGATCTGAGACAGCGAAGACAGTCGTGTTTCCTCCGTGCAACAGTCTGTATTCGCAGCCTTTACTGCGCTGACAAGCGCAAATGCACCTGATTGACAAGTTGTTTTAAGCAACAATTACAGCAGTCAGTTCATAAACGTAATCATTTGTATAACACTTAAAGTCTACGTGTTCTGAAAGCATAAATGAGCATGCAGGATCCATGAACACTTAAGCGTGTGCTGTATCTTTAAAGCCAAGAAACAAGTTGCATCCTCAACGCAAAATGAACTCATTCTCGCAGCACTTTCACCAACTAACAAGCATTTATGCCGCCAGACTCAGCATCTGGCAGAACAATTAAGCTTTAACCGGTGAAGTTATTTTCACTTACCTGCAATTGGCGCGTAAATTGAACACTTGTTATTAAGGCATCAACATACTAAGGTCCACAGGAGCCGCTTCACGCGCACTACACTCGCCGTGCGGATTCCAATCATCATCAGCACCGTGACGTCAAAGCAATGGCTCGCTGTTTTCACCGAGACGCGCAGGAAGCCTGTGATTATTAGTGCTCATACGATGGAGCTGGTGAGGAAAACAGCACTGGAATTAAACCACAACTCCTAATAGTCATTTACATGTGACTGAAAATTAAAATATTAAGACCAACTTACAGCGAAATACAGCCCGGCATGCAGTCCACTTACACTTCCCTCAGAGGAGGGTGTTTAACTTTAAAGAGCATGACTGCATTAAAAGAGCTTAGCTTGTCCATGAATGAAGCGGGGAGAATGAGAAAACCACGCACAAAATCACCCTGCCAGCGAGTCTTACCTCATCTCCCCACAGTCGTCTTATCTGCTGCTTCATTCCCTAAACGTCCAGTAACAGTGAAGGATAACCCACTATCACAAGATAACCCTTGTCTACTTAATATTGCCACTTATCATTACAGTGTCTTGTTTTCAGTTGTTGCAAAAACAGTTAAAGCACAAAAACTGAAATAGTTGCATTGTATTTTAATGCAGTATGGGTCAAGGATAAGGATGTTCGCAGTACTAAAAAGTTGCTCTCAGTGTAGTCTAATATTTATATTTATATTCATGTTCTAGTTTTTTTTATGTATTTAATGACAAAATACCAAAATTATGTTATCATGTACTCAGCCTCAAGTTGTTCCAAACCTGTATGAGTTTTCTTTTTTCTCTGTTGAGGACAAAAGAAGGTATTCTGAAGAATGCTGGTGACCAAACAGGTGGTTGCCAGTCTAGCCACTGAATTCCATAGTATAGAAGAAAAAAGTCAATGGCTATCGTCAACTTTCTTCAGAATATCTTCTTTTGTGCTCACCAGAACTTTAAACTTCTCATTTACTTAAAGAAATAAAAAAATAGCCTACAAGTTTTTGTCAAACTCAACGTTTCTTCTTTCAAGAATTTAAAAGTGTTAATGGGACTTCATCTCCAGGTTTTTTTTTTTTTTTACATTTTATTACATTTTTTGTGTAAAAACAAAAAAAACAATTACTTTTCATTCAGAAATTGAAATAAAAAGTTGTATTCAAAACATTTATGAGTCGCATTTAATGCATATTAAATACAATTAATACATATGTTAGTGTTAAGTATGTTTCTATGAAAGCACGTGCAGTCACGTAACGACCTCGTCCACTAACATTTGAGGCTTGTGAAATAGTGCCACCTGCTGGCCAAGTAAAATAATTGATAGGTAGGTACTTTCTCCTTTCTGTCTAAAGAATTTCAACAGGATACAATGCATACATTATACATACTCCAAAGTGACACTTAAAAAATATTACCAAGTAACCTATTTTCCACTACCACTGTAACACCATAGGATCTCCTCCAAAGATCTTCTTCAGAACATTTTTGCCATTTTAATTTCATTTTTGATGACCGTGTTGGCCAATAACAAGTAACCAGTTCTATTGTAGCAACAATAACCATTGTGATTAGTATTTTGGAGAGTATCCTGGTTACCATATTTGTAGAAATGGATAAAAATACATTTGTTTACAATGCTTAAAATGAAAGCGAGCATTAATCTGAAGACATTTAAAAAAACACCAGATTGTTGATCTTTATGAATCAACCAAATAAAAACATGCAGAGAGTTAATATTTACTTTTATGCTACTGAACGAACACAACAAACTAAGAGAATCTTTCATGTTTTAATGAGTTTAATTCAAATGTGTTAGAACAACACAATTTACATGTTCTTTTAAAGCTCACCTATTATACTGCTATTTCATGGGTCAAATCCGTATATACATGAAACGATTTACAGTTTTGGGGCAAACTGGCACTGAACAACTGAACAACTTGTGTACAATGGGCGAACAAAATGATCCTTCATTCTGTCCAAAACATTATAAGCATCGAAATCATGAAAACATCCAGAAACCACAACCTTCACTATGTCTCCACCAGACTGCCATAAACTGAGGTCGTACAGCTCAGGCCAGACTTGTTTAACATCAGACAGTCATGCAATGAGTGATGCTATAAGAACTCTTCTCAGAGTCACGTGTTCTATCAGTTCAGTTTCATACAGGACTGTTAACATCCGTCATGTTATAAAAGGACAATCAGCAATTGCTACAAAGCTTTGTGAAGAAAAAAAAAGACAAACAAAGATCTTGATACAGAGGTACAAGGTATAAAAATGAGCAGATATTTTAGTTCAAGTTGATGCTTTAGGAGCATGTTGGAAGAATGATTTAATGTATAAATCCCAAATATTAGAAACACACGATGATTGTAAAAACTGATCTAATAAAGACTTCAGCAGCAAATCAAATGGTTAATTTGAAATCTTTATCAGACTTTCGGTCATATAACGTTATGTTAAAATTTCTTACGATATTTTTTTTCATCTTTACATAACTTCCATTATGAGTTATCATTCAACAGGCAAAACAGTTAAGTGTAAATAAAATATAATGATAAAATATAATAAAGTACAAAACTAACAACAAATCGAACCTAGCCCTCAAACACTCATGATAAAAAAATAGGAGAAATCATTTACATTTTAACAGTGTACTTTGTAAATAAATTGTTTGTGTATTACTGAATAAACCATTCTCCTGAATAACTTGATGCCCTGCTATAATAATTATTCGTCTGACAGAAAAAAAAATGTACAAAGAAACACAAGAACCTCTATAAGAATATCTTTGAATTATATGAATTTGATAACCGTTTACTCTGATACAGAAACTTCTGGAAATTTACTTAAATCAACAAAAATAAAAGGAAAATGCATACATACAGTACATCGTAAGTGAAACTTCTGTCTGTAGATACACCGTTTTGTTCAGAAAATTCATTAAGGGCACTGTTAAACAAACACGTTCCTGGTCACCACGACACCTTTACTCCTTCACTTGTCCTCTCATGCTTTACTTTCAGTGGCGTTTGTTTGCGTGAGGGCGTTGGGCTCTGCTCCAGTTCCCGGCACAACTTTCTTCAGGTCTGCGTTTTCAGTCGTACTCTTCTCATCATCCAGAATTTTCCTGTGATTGAAACCATTAAAGGGACAGTTCAGCCAAAAATGAACACGGTCATCACTCACTCACCCTCATGTCATTCCAAACCTGTATGACTTTATTTCTTCTGCCCATTTCATAAATTATTCAGTTAGTCGGGTTGACAAAACCGGTCTGAATGATTCATTCACGAATTGGGACTCATTTCGTAAGTTCAGCTCACTGGGTTTCAGCGATTCACAGCTCACCGTACCGCTAAGACTTTATTCATTTCAATGCTGATTCACATCGCTGATTCGGAATCATTTAGGTATAATGCACTTACGTCTGAAATAGATTCTTTCTGCTAATACTGTTAATAAACAAGGTCAGTGTTTTAGACGGATGAAAACCTGACTTTTTGAACTACATAACCAGAAAAAAAAAAAAAAACGGCTCATAAAAGTGATTTGAATGGGGAGTCGACCTACACTGTTCGCACTGTACATTTTTTTCATTACAAACAACAGGCTTGTAAGAATAATTTATTCATGAATCAGACTACACTGGTAGCGTTGTTAGATTTTGCGCGCATGCAGCAAAAACAACTTATATAAGTCATTTAGTGCCACTATTTCACAGTACACTGTATATTTATTATCACAACCCTTAATATGACTCCATAAGGTTTTAAGAAATTTTGTGGGGAAAAAGTTCATTGTCTATTGCGATTATTGTTGCGTTGTATGAAGCAAAGCTCACACAGAAGTCACTTTCAAACGAGGATACTTCAACATGGTGAATTCACATTAATAATGGTATTGTTCCTTTGTTAGACTTCCCTATTCTCATAAGATTATTTATAGTTATAGTTATTTTTATAGTTATTGTCCTTGATGTGAACTGCCCTTTATTCTCATGTTTGGAACGACATGAGGCTGAGTAAATTACTGAATTTTTATTTTTGCCTCAAACTTTAAATGAGTAAATCTAAAGAATGCATGCACATTCAGATTCAGATGACCACATGCAGTGAAATTACAACAAACATCTAACGGCCACAACAACACACTCAAACAACAAACTGAGAGAACATCTAGAGATCCATACTCGTCCTGTGCTTGAACAGATGGGCCACTGGAGCCAGCTGTCCCCACAGCATGTGACCCATCCTGAGGGACGTCTGTGTCTGGAGCCAGTGGGAGCTCTCCATCAATCTCATGTTCATGATTCACTAAGGGGATTGCGACGCTGCCCTGTGGGCTGATGGGATTTAAAGTGGCATGAGACTCGGGCGACTCTAATTCGTTTTCTGTGATTTTTGAGTTTATAGCAGCTGGTTGGTCAGCACTGAAAGGGGAAGGAGGAGGCACTGGGACTGGTTCTTCTGAAGGGACCACTGGAGGAACCTCAGTTTGTGGTTCTGGGGAATCACCCAGGTCTACCAGGAGAGTAACATTAGCCGGGTCGGAAGACGGGGGAGATGAGCTGGAGGGTTTGGTGTGAGATTTGGGCGTGCTGCTGTTGGGTGGTGTCGTGTGGATGGGGTTAGGAGAGTCAGAGGGAGGCGCTGTGATGCTGGAGGTGAGAGTGGTGCTCTCGCTGACTGGGCTGCTCTGGCTAAGGTCAGTGACTGTGTCTGAGTTAGTGGGCACGGAAAGAGGCAAGTCCACCACCGCAGCGGCAGTTTCCGTCACTTGCCTGTGAGAAGAGGGAGAGAACAGAGACACAGACGGGTGATGTTGACACAGAGGGGAGACATTAAGGGAGAGACACCAAATCATTGGAGGTATGTGGTTACAACACATATGCAATACTCATTTGAAATACAGTATTGCAAGAGTGGTGTTACAATTAATGGTCACTAGAGGGAGTACTTGATTTAAAATATGAAATATGGTGGGGGAAAATTAAAGAGTATGTAGGAAAAATGAGCAGGAGGCCAAAGACAACATGAAAGCAAAATTATTTGTTTACCTTCTCAATAAATGTCCTCAGACTTATTGTGAACAATCTGCCTGAGCACATAATTCTAAAGAATAATAATAATAAAAAGTTTTTTAACCAAGTTCAGGTCTTAAACAAATGATGTATGGATGTCCAATAACATTTTTTAAGCCAATTTTTTATTTATTTATTTTTACCATTTTTTTCATGGCTTTTTGCCTTTATTTGATAGGACACTGGAGAAGTAACAGAAAAATTCAATGAAAGAGACGGGGAACAGGACCCAGGTCAGACTCAGAATGTATCATCACATTATGGATGTTATAGCTGCTCTATGTAATATTTTATAATACTGTCATCCCATGCTTAAAGATGCACTTATTAATAGTTTCGAAAGCTGTTTTAAATAGGTAAGATTTTTACATTTTTTTTGTCTTTTATACTCACCGTGGCTGCATTTATTTGATCAAATACAGTAAAACAGTAATATTGTGAAAATATTATCAATTTTTAAAAACGGTTTTCTATTTGAATATATTTTAAAATGTAATTTATTTCTGTGATGGCAAAGTTTAATTTTCAGCAGCCATTACTCCAATCTTCAGTGTCACATGATCCTTCAGAAATAATTTTAATATGCTGAAATGCTGCTCAAGAAACATTGTGGAAACCATGTTACTTTTTTCAGGATTCTCTGATGAAAAACTACTGAGCTCACCAGACCAGGACCCTCTTTGCTTGTTTAAAAAAAAAAATTAAAAACTAATAACAGCTGATTGCAAATAGTGCACTTCTTTGTGATGATACATTTACACCACCAGGTGCCAGTATAAGTTCAAGGAAACGTGTTTGAAAAACAGTTCTTATTTTTCACAATTCCATTTGGTGCCACTAGCTGTACAGAAATGACACACTGCAGCTTTAAATGCATTGCAAAATGCTGTTTGGTGTTGTCTTTAAGTTTAAAAATAGAAGATAGGTAGTGGAGGTGGATTCAAAGGGTTATATTTAGGGTGTAGGAAACACTGATTTAATGGCATTGCAGATGTTCTGTGATTATGTGATTAAGTAATTGAGCACATTACTATCACATAACAGTGAACTTACTCTGGTTCAGTCAGCGGCGTGGTCTCATTGGGCTCAGGATGGCCTTCTGCATCATGATTGGCCGTGGCCTCTTCTTCTGTCCTCACTTCTACAATGGGCTCTTTAGACACATCTTGACTGCATGCAGAGAGAAGGCACACACATCTGCTCATTATACAGCAATGAGTAGAGTTTGATGAGGTCACTAAAGTCGTGGCATAAGAGAAGCTCTTGTTTCTTTCACGGCGGTTAGAGGGCTTTAATAGAACAGCTTATGTGACTGAAAATATTCATGCTTTACATTCATATGCTTTACAATGCAGGGCCCTTGACTGCTCTCGATGTGTGATATGAACTTATTTGAGTCTATCATATATATAGTGCAAGAGCATTGTGGATACTCACACAAAGGCAGCTTTGCCCGTCTCTATGTCTTTGCCCTTGGTGCCTTGCCCGGGTTTACCGCAGATGCACATGAGGATGCCACACTTGTTGAGGAAGCAGCAGGTGGCGTCCACGATCAGCAAGAGCAGCATACACACCAGTATAAGAATACCAACAATTACTCCAGTGTTCAGGCCCGTCCCATCTTCCATGGAGTCTTGAGGAGAAACGAGAGATACAGACAAAGAGACAGAGCAGGAGGATCATCAGCCCAAACTGAAGATGCACAAATTATATACAATGTAACAGTCAAGCAAGCATGAGTTATTTTCAGATCATAAGACTATCAGGATTCAGCAAAATGAAGACAATTGGTGAAGGCAATAAGGCAAAGCTAACAACTTTAGACAGAATTGTGCACTCAGTGAATATATAACACACAAGTTAGGACTAGGAAAAATCTGTCATCATTTACTCACCCTCATGTCACTCTGAAATGTTCAACTTAATTAAGCTGATACAGAAGAAGATATTTTGAAGAATGTTTACAACCAAACAGTTTTGGTTCCCATTGAACTCCACTGTATTTGTGTTCATATAATGGAAGTCAATGGGAACCAAAACTGTTACCAACATTCTTCAAAATACCTTCCTTTGTATCAGCGTAAGAAAATAAGTCATAGATGTTTGGAATGACATGAGGGTGTCTAAATGTTGATACAATCTTTGCCTGCATTTTTCCAACCTTTATGTTGTTTGTTTATCATCAGTAGTTTAAAAAAGAAAAGAAAAAACTTACCCATAAACACCATTGACAGTTAAGATCATGATGATAATGATGGCAACTGGCACAACATAAATGCTATTTATGACAGATTAAAGTCTTAGCGTGTCACTGCAAATTACACATACACCACTGTTCAAAAGTTTGTGGTCAGTAAGATTTAAAATAAATAAATGCATAAATAAACACTTTTTATTCTGCAATTACATTTTATTAATCAAAAGTGACAGTAAAGACATTTACAATGTCTATTTCAAAAAAGCTATTCCTTTGAACTTTCTCTTCATCAAAGAATCCTGATGTTTCTACAAAAATATTAAGCAGCACAACTGTTTTCAACATTAATAATAATAATTTCTGAAAGATCATGTGACACTGAAGATTTGTTATTTTAAATTCTAATCATATTTTACAATACTACTGTTTTTACAGCATTTTTTTAAATAAATGCAGACTCTAAACTTTTGCATATTAAAAAAAAGGACACTACAACATTATATAAAAATGAATTTAATAATGTCACATGTGAACAATAGCCCTAGTGATGACTATAATACATTGCTGTTTTTCCAAACTTTACAGTAAGTAGAAGCCTCAAAAAGTCTTTTAAGTAATAAAATAACATCTGAAAGGTTTGTTACAAAGTTTGATCCCAAAGGACTGGTACAGTTTTAGTTCAAACAATCCATAGAGCAAAAGAAGAATATAAGACAGACAAGATAAATTCTCTCTCTGCTTTTAACTTAGTGTTTGACTCTCTCGTTCTTTAAGATAAAACGTGTCATTTCTGCATCATTAGCAGCACTACATGGAACTGCAAAAGTAATTGTTGTTTGTAAACACAGAGAAGCCCACAGAGACCATACATTATTATTATTCATTCTCTAAAAACTTATTTCATGACCTTCTGGTTCATTATTTCTTCATTGTTTTTGCAACTATCCGCTAAGCTCTGCCCCTCAAGAGAATACTGTTAAATTGCATTTAAAACTACCCAAACACAGATCCTCCATAAACTTGCATTAAAAAATTAAAACAGTTGCTAAGGTATTATAAGTATTGTTTTAAGGCGGGGCTTAGCGTTCAGTTAATTCCATCTAATGCCACTGGAATGACACAATGCAGCTTTACTCACACAATACAGTACAGATGTCTATAGACTGGATGCGACCGATATAAAAATGTAACTTTTTTTAATGGCATAAATTAAAAAGCACAGTCATTTTAAGCTTTTGGTCATCTGAAACTGAATATATTTTGTATTTCCTTAAGTTGCAATTGGAGTTACTCTTGTCTATGAGGCTCAGTGTTCCTGAAGAGATAGCTTAAAAAATTTAATAATAATAATTTAAAGTCAGATTATAAAAAAAACCATTTGTCATTTAGAATATATATATATATATATATATATATATATTTATATATATATATATTCCTGAAATGTTCTTGCATAAATGGCACCACGTCCTGAGGATGACCCAGTTAACAAAACAAGACATGCAAAAGCCCAGCAAATGGTTTTAATGGAATGGTGGGAGTTGTTTATTGCACTATAACGAGGATAATAACAAGGCGATGTTACTGAAGATTATGCAAAACACACAGAATTAGCACTTCACTTTATAATGTAGACCAAAAACACAGTGTACCTCACAGCCCACACAGCGAGTAGCAGGGAACAAGATATTAATTATATTTTAAGCTAATTAGAGAGTACATTTACTTCTTTATATGACTTTGAAACCACAAAAATGGTCTGAAAAATGTCCTCGAAGAACTACTGCATTAAACAAACAATGCTCTACAGCGCAAGCGGCTAATGAAGAGCTCAGTGCTGTGTAGTTTTGTTTCAAAGTAGATGAGAAATGTGGAATAGCTGAACGCTAACAACAGCAGAGCAGCAGAACAAATTGGACGTGAACTCATTTATCTGTGACAATGGAACAGTTATTTCTTTATTTCATCTAGCATAAGTTTAACTATGCATTAGCATTAATAAGCATTAATAAAAATATAGTCATACATATACATAAAGACAAAAACAACAAAATTACAAAAAAATTAAATAAGATTAAAATGAAAACAAAATAAAAAACTGAATCATTCATAAATATAATCTCAATGATACTAAAATAAGATGTGTGTGTGTATAGAAACCCTGAAATTACATGTATATAAATTAAAACAAGAAAAATTACATAATTAGCCAAAAATGTCACTTAAAAACTGTTAGGCAGAGAGAGATAAAGAGTCTGTACCAGACGTTTTCCATAAGGAGGGAACAGATTTGTTGTGAAGAATGTACAATATGCATCCGCATTAAATAAATCTCCACTGTGTTATGAAATATGCCGGTACTAACATTGTAGCTCCAAGATGTACACAGTTCATTAACAAACAGCAGAATAATGCATGAGATCTTATAAAATATTCAGTTAAGAGGTTATGAAATGCCAAATATGATTAAATAAACAAAACTTGCACACAAGTTGCTGAAATGGTTATTTTGAGTAAGTATGTGCATAAATGTTACTTAAAACTATAAGCACTACATTAAAGCACTGCAAAATGTTGCAGAATTCTAATACGTCAAAATCCAAGCTGTTCTCAACTTTAATGTTAGTTATCACAGTAAAAAATAAAACATGTTGAGTAAAGTTAGTCAGGAGGTGATGTGGTCTCATTGGCATGCTGTGAGGAGTGCGGTTCTGTACTCCGAGGTGTGAGTGAGACAAACAGCCTTTGGATGTGGGCCATTCACAGCCTAGTATGCCAAAGAGAGCAGCGATTCAGTCCTCCTACGTCCAGAGGGCCATCTTAGAGTGTTAATGAGAGCGAGAGAGAGAGAGAGAGAGAGACAGAGAGAGACAGCGAGGGACAGACAAAGTCTCTCTGCATTAAGAAGCACCAGATGCTAGTTACATTACAAGTGAAGCGGTGAACCCCAGCTGTGGCCATGGCATGCCTGACTAGACCGCAACCCCCAGTTTCTGGGTAGCCGCAGCACACTAGGCAGGGTTCGTAAGCAGGAAGTGATCCTTCAGGCAGGGGGGAACGGCAGATGCATTGGGCTACTGCCCTGCTGCTAATGCTGAGGGTTAGCCTAGTCACAGGTGGATGGAGGCCAAGTCAATAACATTACAGAGACAGCGACTCAGAGTGTACCTGCATGTGAATGCAAGAGGTCTGTTGATTCCTGTGTTATAGAAACAAAACACGCTTTACAAAGTTAACTGAACATGCAAAACAAATTATATATTTTTTTTCCAAGAAGCAATGCTGATTTTGCAATCAACATGCAAAATGTCAATCCTGTATAAATTAGTGATTAGGTTAAAATAGGGAACATATCGGTACAATATAGGATATTGGACGATATTATAAAAATAAGTGATTGTATTACTTTGTGATATATATATATATATAGAATCCCTGATTTTAATTATAAACTTGTAATTATATATAATTATAACTTGTTTGATTTTTTGTTGCGCCCAATGTATTTTGTAATAGTTATTCATTATATATATATATATATATAACTATACAATATAATTTTATATACACATCATACTAAATATACATTTTTAACAATACTTTTACTAATACTTGTACAATATAACATTTACAGTTTTTTTACAATACATTGGCTAATATTTAAAATATACATATGATACATATTATATACATATATATATATACATATATATATAAAACATAAAATACACTTTAAAAACAAGAATTTCACAAAGTAAAACAATGACACTTTTTTTTTTTTTTTGGTCAAGCAGAAAAATAAATCTACTGAGCATTTGCTGAATAATTGTCATCTGGCTTGTTTGTGATCAAAATTGCCCCTCTGTCTCCCCACCTTACATATTTGGCTAAATCTAAAACAGCTTGAATGGCCAGCTTGGAAACTGACATCACCGTCTCACAGTAATCTTATGTTATAGAAATATGGCATCAAGAATCCCATATGAATGAGCCAAGTGTTTTGTCCGTGTGTTTCGTGATCTGCCATGTAGCATGACTCGCTGTTTATCATGCAGCGTAAGAGATGGCCCACAATGCATTCGCATGTTTGGTGTCATTACAGCTCTGAGTCAGCTGTTAAAATCAGTGTGCTTGAGACCAGCAGCGAGGGTGAGCACAGAGAAGGATGGATGGGAGGAGAGAAGGAAGGAGGGAGGGATGGATGGATGGTGGTTACCTGTGGTAGCTGCAGGCTCCGATGAGGTTCTGAAGGTCAGAGTGCCAGGCTTGGACTTGCCCTGCTGGTTCTCTGCCACCACGAACACGTCATACTCGGTGTCCCACTCCAGCCCAATCAGCATTACATACTCGCTCACATTAGGCAGACGGATCTCGGGCTTCCAATCAGAGTCTTCCCTCTGTGTACCAACGAACAAGCATGAGACTAACATAGTTGCAACCAAAATAAGAAGGATCACATAAAATATTTCATATTTGGATACTCACAGCTTTGTATTTGACCAAATAATGTGTGATTGGTGACCCTCCATCATCTTGTTTGGTCCATTTAACTTTGAGAGAATTGCCTTTGGGTTGTAGAGTGCCCTCTAGTATAGGGGAACTTGGCTCTCCTACAACAACAAACCAGTTACAATGACGTGAGAAAAAAGCATGATAACTAAAAGGAATAGTTCACCTAAAAATAAATGTAATTCTCATGTCATCCCAAACCTGTAAGACTTTGTTTCATCTTTGAAACCAAAGTCATCCACCAAATCTGTACATCAAACAAGCTTCTGTTTACCATATTGGATGTGCACTATGCTTTTATATGTGAATAAAAGCCTAAATAAAACCTGTTCATCATATAAAGCAACTGTGTCCCTTCAGAAGACTTTGATTAAGGTGCTCAATTCATATGGATTACTTTTATGATGTCTTCATAAACTTTTTGAAGTGTCAAAGTTTTGGTTGCATGGACTTGCAATGCAGGGACAGAAATATCTTAGGTTTCATTTGTGTTTCGAAGATGAACAAAAGTCTTATGGTTTGGAATGACATAAAGGTGAATAAATGATTACAGATTTTTCATTTTTAGATTAAATATCCCTTTAAAAATGAAGATGTGTAAAAGGTAGAAAGGTCCAAACCAGGAATGAAGATCAGCATTAAATATTGGTATTATGGGTAGTAAAAGGTCGATACATAGAGCGATATTTGACTATTTTGAGATTTTCGACATTGACTGATAACCATGTCAATCATGTTGAATAACAGAACTTTGAAATTGACAGTCATGTCAATTTATAAAGACTTTATTTTAACATCTTACCAAAGTACACATTGTAAAATAAAGTTTAATTCTATTTAATTCACTTAATTTTTACAATTTGTGTACATCTGACACAATGTGTAATTTTCAGTAGACGCACCAAAATATATTATGGTTTTCAAACAGGTTTCTTAAACAGTCCTCCATCTGTTATTGTTCAAATAAACAGGCAGTCACTCCAATATACAAATAACTCATAATAATATTATTAAAGCAATACAATTTTCAATAAATGTTAAAAAAACTATTAATTAAATTACTGACAGATCAATCATCGAAATGGTTGCATCACTACTCTAAACTCATGCCATTTGACTTGAGCCAGAATTGTACATATGGGGCAAATAAAAAAAAATAAGATACAGCAAATTTAAATTGTATTATGCATATATCAGCATTACACGATTGGCCACCCAGATCTGTAGATAGCAATTCTGGCCAATGAAATGCCAGTCATCCACTAATTACGTGCATTAAAAGTTGTCAATTTTCCAACTCCCACGATTCTTAGCCTCCTACATGCCAGTGATTCCATATAAGTGAGTAATAGAATAATATGACACATGCTGATTGGCTGTGGCTCCTTAGATGAGTAGGCTGATATTTGGAGGTCACGGTGAACTGTGAACATTCCTACAGAGCAGTCGTGTATTACCACGCTGTGAATTGGGAATATTTCTATGGTGCTGTTCACTGAGGATGCTCCTTCATGGGCCATCATGATCCATTTCATTTTAATGACCAGCGAATGCTCGTTTGATTCACTACATTAGTTTGAAGCACAGAGTGACAACATTGCAGGCAGAAGCTACGTGTGTACATCGCGGTTGGAAAAATGAAGGCATTTACTCTCATTAAGCCAGTAATTAGCTATTAGCCTGTACGAGAGAGATGCTTTCATTCATACAATCTTTTTTCTTTAATTTTGTTTGGAGTTCTTGTTTATCCTGATATTAATCACTAACACCCTAAATTTTGTCCATGCAGTGGTGAAATTATCAATGCCGTCAATACATCAATAGATTCACCTTTCCAACAAAGGAGGATTTTATTTTTCCCCGAGAGGTACAGCTCAAATTCTCTAAGGATCTTCTGCTACAAAACACTATCGTAACTGCAAAAACTGAATGAGATGTGATAAAAATGCAGTAATTAATCTTAATGTGGTCTGAAGTCATAAAAGTGCAGCACGTAAAATGGCATAAGCCCCACTAACTGATGCGAGGGGCTCCAATCCCAAACGATCGGCTCAATTAAAAAGCAGCTATTCTACTCGACTGACAGTTTAAAGGGTCATCAATAAACACTCATCTCTTAAATAATGAAAGTGCAGCACTGCATGATTAATTCCATCCTCCTTAGCCATCTGTCCCTACAGGATACAGTGAATGAAATTATCATCTACACAAGGGAGCAAACAGCAATAAATTAAATGAGACTAAAATTAAGAGTTTTACATGTTTGCAAATGAACTTGCATGGTCATTATCTTAATGGCAGCTACATTGAGATATTCTGGGGGGAAATCACCAAGAATGAATTGCGCCATTTATTTGCACACACTGACTGCGTTGTTTTAGCAACGGATTCACTAAAGGCGTTATGCAAATTAGGTAATATCTCAAACAAACCCCACAATGGCCTAATTTGCAGGTTGCTACTGAGTAAGTACTAGGTCGGGCAAATTGGGCAAATTCAGAATTGGGCTTTCAATTCCATTAGTTGGAGTTTGAGTTGAATTGGCCACAATCACAGGAAGTTGAGCTGGAATGAAAGAAATTGTAGTTCAACACAGATAATACATTTCAGGAATTCAACAGTTCTTATACTCTGACCCACAATGAATATGATGAAAAATACAAACTAAAAGCAAATGCACATATCATCCTCCTGGTTTTTAAGGCCTATAAACCTTTATAAACTTTTAAAAATGTTTTTTTTTTTTCAACATTCAAAGTGTTTCTTAGCACACTTTGCTTTTTAGAAAAAAAATGCTGCATTCTTTGAAATTTATTTACTTCCTTACATTCAAATTCAAATTGAAATTCTGCAGCCGGTTTGCTACCTTAATTCAAATTCAGTAATCAAATTGGAATAAAAAAAAAGCCAATTCAGTTTAAACTGGCAATCTATCATGACCCTTGTTTACATAGAAAGGAGGCATGTTAATACAATAACAATTACTTAAATGAATAGTTCACCCAAGAATGAAAACTCTTATCATTTACTAACCCTCATTTAATTCCAAAACCATAAGACTTTTGTTCATCTTAGGATCTTGATGCAAGAGAACTGAATTTTGTTCTTGCGTGTCAAGCAAGCACAGCTGAGCTTCTGTTTAGCATATTTACTTTGCTCTGTATGTTAATCAATCTTTATATGCAAATAAAAGCCTAATTATATCTGTTCATCATATAAAGTGAACATTAAAAGACTTTTTAAACCACTCCATTCATATGGATTACTTTTACTATTTCTGTGTCCGAAATCGTGTACTGTCTAGTAGGTAATACAAAGTTCTGTCATGAAACTCAAGATGGCGCAGGCCGATAGGTTCTAACTCAATCTGACATAATGACATTATTCACGTGGCGCAGCTGATTGGTTCTTTTCGTATCAGCAGCCAATGAGCTTGCTGCTCAAACATTCAAATACTCGGCTAGTGCCCACTGTAGCAGTTGCAGCACGCTTTAGAAACCCTCCACCTTCCCCAGCTCCACTTGTATAGATCTGCTACAGGGTGATTTCATGTATGTTTTATATGGGGTTGTTTCATATATGTTATATGTACAGCAGCAGTATTTCTTACATGCTCACAGCAGCATGTCTGTAGATGTACTGGCAGTAGCAAGTTTCTGTTCTTGCCCTGCAGGAGCAGAAGCGCAGCAGATCTATTCCACCAAAACCAAACACTTTGACATTTCCATGTATATTACCATGCTAAACTCTCCGAGAGTTGTCATGGCAGAACTACATTTGCTCCGTGGCTGTTAAAAAGTATGTTCTATGAATGTGTGTAGTATGAATAAAATGCAAATGTACCACATCCGCCATGTTTTCACTGTCATGTGACCTATCAGTTGTGTCGCTTTCACAACTCCCATGGCATCATGGGATAGTAAAGTCCATTGTCTATTGGATGCGCACTTCAGAATCTTGCTGGTAGTAGTAGGTCATCCGGGTACTTTTCGCCTGCTATTTTATGAATACTATGAATTCGGGCATACTACTTGGCTCGCATAGTTTTTCGCCTAGGTTCGCCTTGGTTGCAGGGTATGTCTTTATGAACTTTTTGAAAAATTTGGTCACATGAGAATACCAAAAATATCTATATTTGCATTCCGAATACAAACAAAGGTCTTATGAGGGTGGGTAATTAATGACAGAATTTAAATATTTGAGTGAACTATTACTTTAAATACACATGGCACTATTTAACTGCAGATATCGCATGCTTGAACTAGATTTATTGTGGTTTTTAAATAAGACGTAAAATGGTGCAACTGTTACATTTTTGTCTTATAAAAAGACAAGCAAAACATAGACCAATATCCAATCACAGAAACATCATAAAACCTATATCATTAGTCAAGGTGTGCAAGCAAAGTAAGCAAATGTGCACTGAAAAGAAAGTCAATATTTTTCTGTACAGAGTCATCATAAAATTTACATGCAGGCAAAAACAACCGGATCTTCAAAGGACAAACTTCGGAGAGGAGAGGAGGACCCCTCTAAAAGGTTCAAAGGTATATTGAAAGGAAATGCGGTACTGTGAAAGTTACTGAAACATGCTTGAAACTGGAGAATAAATAAACCATTGAGTTCAACCACTCGCAGTGTCTACTGTAGCATTTTTTTTAGGGATTTCCTACTTTGGATATAATTGTACACTGGTAACAGCATATTCAAAGCAGCATAAGATGAAAGGACGTCAGTGTAGAGTGTCTGTAAACCCTCTGCTTGTCAAAATGTTTAGACTGAACATAAAAGAGCGAGATTGTCGTACCCAGCGATCGCTCTGGGGATGAGTTTTTTTAGCTCCAGAGCTTTTGATGTAATTTCCATGGTTGGCAGGACACGGCATCAACTTTTTTTCCTGATTGCATATTCACCACGGAAGATAATTTGTGCAGTCAGAGCACAGTGGTTGCTCAAGGGTAACAGTCTCCGTTAAAAATTGGGAATGGATGAATTTTCATGACCTGTCTGAGGGGATTTAATTCTAGAAATGTGACAGGAGTGAGTTATAATGGCTGCTTAGGAATGGATGCGGTGATTCTGATGTGAGTGAAGGCTAATCCTGTACATGAGAGAATGGAGCCGGGCCCGAGTGTTTACCTTCTGCTCATCAGTGTGGATGATGACATCACCAGCACCATGCAAGCCACATGACACAGTCACATCATACGCACGCACATGATTGGTTGAAAGGAAATTGGAAGAGGTTGCATGAAAGATACAAAAATACAGAAAAATATGTAAACTATTTGAAAAAAAAAAAAGATTCAAGGGTTAGAACAAACTGCAGAGAAACACAAAACCAAGCAACTCAAAATGGCTTTAATCACAAAGATCACAACATTGAGCACAGAAGCAGAGACACACTGAGCAGGATTTCCTCTGAGAGATTGAGCATATGGTTTGATTTAAACACAACTGAAATTAAATTATTTGTACATATTCTGAAGAAAATGTGAGTGGTGCTTGTACAAAACCTGGTTTGGTATGGAGTGGTTCATAGCGCATTTCTCAGCAGTTGCTATGCAGCTGCTTGGCTGTCACTGTGTTGCTACGCAGTTGCAAAATTTTTCTAAGTGGAGTGTGTTACTAGGAGGTTACACAGTTACTAGGGTGTTCTTGGTGGTTGCTTAAGGGTTGCTAAGTGTTTTGAGTGGTTGTTAGTGTGTTGCTAGGGTGCTTAAATGGTTACTACAGTGTTCTTGGTGGTTGCTACTGCAATGCTATTTGGTTGTTGAAGTGTTCTGAGTGGTTGTTGGAGACTTTCTTTCTAAGCAATTGCTAGGGTGTTTTTGGTGGTTGTTCAGCATGTTGCTATACAGATGCAAAATTGTTCTGAATGGTTCTTAACATGTTGCTATGCTGTTTCTAAGGTGTTCTTGTGGTTACTATGGAGTTGCTAAGTGGCTGCTAAAGTGTTCTGGGTGGTTATTTTGGTGTTGCTTGGGTGGTTACGTGGTTACAGTGTTCTTGGTGGTTGCTACTGCATTGGTATTTAGTCGTGGAAATATCCGGAGACGTTGTTAGAGCCTTTCTTTCTAAGCAGTTGCTAGGGTGTTCTTGGTGGTCGCTAAAGTGTTCTGTTTGACTGCTATGGCACAGCTATGTCACTGTTTGGTTGCTATGGTTGTCAGCATGTTGCTATGCAGTTGAAAATTTGTTCTGAGTGGTTCTTAGCATGTTGCTATGCTGTTTCTAAGGTGTTCTTTGTGGTTGGTACAGTACGTGGTTGCTACATTTTTCCTAGTAGTTGTGTGCCTGCCAAGTTGTTCAGAGTGTTTCTTAATGTGTTGCTATGTGGTTACAAAGGTGATTTCAGTGGTTGCTAAGTGTTCTGAGTGGTTGTTAGTGTGTTGCTAGGGTGGTTACATGGTTACTACAGTGTTCTTGGTGGTTGCTACTGCAATGCTATTTGGTTGTTGAAGTGTTCTGAGTGGTTGTTGAAGTCTTTCTTTCTAAGCAGTTGCTAGGGTGTTCTTGGTGGTTGCTCAGCGTGTTGGTTGTCAGCATGTCGATATGCAGTTGCAAAATTGTTCTCAATGGTTTTTAGTGTGTTGCTATACTGTTTCTAAGGTGGTTGCTACTAAGTTGCCATGCGGTTGCTAAAGTGTTGCGGGTGGTTATGCGGTTGTTAAAGTTTTCCCAGTGGTTGTCAACGTGTTCTTGCTGGTTGCTAGGGTGTTGCTAAGTAGATGCTTAAGTTCTGAGTGGTGTATAATGCATTTCTAAACAGCTGCGAGGGTGTTCTGGCGGTTGCTATCTGGTTGCTATCTACCAGTAAGTTTACGGAGTAGTTGTCAGTGATCTGCTATGTGGCTGCTAAATTGTTCTGAGTGGTTCTTAACATAATGCTACACAGTTCTTAGGGTGTTCTTGGTGGTTGCTAGGGTGTTGCTAAGAGGTTGTTCTAGATGGCTGCTCAGCTCTAAAGGGCCCACCACCAGGTCTATATGACATTATATGGCTTGGGTCCCTTTCTTAAGTTTATGGGACTTTTCTACCAGTTTTATCATCTGCCAGGTAAAAAAAAATGCTTATTAAAGTAACAAGACTGCTTTTGCAGGACAATTTGAGGTGTTAATCAGGTGCTCAGCACAAATGGTATGGAAAAAGTTATGTATTCAACTGTAATACTTAGTTAAAGGTTTGTTCAAATCCTGTATGATAGTGATGGCTGCTTATGCAAACATTACTGATAAGTTGTCAAATCATATTTCTCAATAAAAAACAGAGGAAACACTGAAGTATTGATATAATACCTGAGGATCATGCATTAGTTTTTGGACAAAGCATGTGATACTGTAAGCACATCACACTGGATCTCAATCACTAAAGAAATATTTAAAGTTGCTAAACTTGAAATACTTTACGTGTACTATAATTGGATTAACTGTGTGTTGCCTAAAGATAAAACATGCGAAGGCTTTATTGCAGCCACAAAACTAGAGCATAATACAATATTAACTCTTTATATTACCTACAGAAGGATCTTTTTGGTTTCGCTTTTAATATTATATAATCATAACTATGAAGATCACCATACAGCTGCATAACAAACCTGTGTCCTCAGTGTGAAAATGAAAAATCCCATCTAGGGAGCAGATGAAAAAAGAAAACGTTCACTTTTATTTAGTTTGATAACTGTAATGGAGGAAAAAGCTAGCATATGAACTTAAAGACCCCATAAGAGCACATGACAAGCCCTATTATCTTTAATGTGTTATTGTATTTCCTGATGAAAAAGGAAGGAGCCTTTAGTTTGTCACAACCATGATGGTTTGATACTTGCTACTGCTAATCAGAGGCAGGTAATGTTAGAGGATAGGACATTCTCATTCTAAAGAGCACAAAAATTATATTTTAATTTAGTAAATTTTTGCGAGTACGATAACATATGGCTGATCTCATAACAGACATGGACTTAAAGCCATAAAACTCTCATCTTGATTTCATGGGGTCTTTAAATCCTATAACCACTAGACAAGATATTACCAAATAATAAAATACGAAGAAATACGAATGATATCAAAAGCCAATGATCACAGGGGGACTTACTTGTGTAAGAATACTCTAAAGGATCCGGTGGAAAATGAAAAAAAAAAACAAACAAAAAAAACCATACAAATGGGAAACAAAATATGGGAAAAATCACATAAATTGACAGGATGAAAAAAAAAAAGAAAAGTCTGAAAATGTCAAAGGGTAAAAGCTGGTAACAAGATCAGACAGCAATACTCTCTCATCACTCATACTTTACCTGAGTTAGAGTCATTACTCTCTGGACTACATTCTGGAGATTTCAGCACTAAATGGGTTTTGTTTCATGTACTGACAGGAAATAAATCCCAGTGCACAATGGGTTGAGTATATGATGTGATAATGGCATTTCTGGAAGTCCAAAACATCCCGCTGATCACACAACCACCAGGGGGAGTAAGAGGGTAGATGTGTGTGGTGATTATAGTGATGAGAATATCAACACAAATCACAAGAATATTCTTGTGGTTGATTGATTTTTATTGATGTTTTGTGGAATGTTGGCAGAATTTTATGTCCTGTGTGAGAACAAGATGTTCTGTTCTTACCAGTCAGATTTCTTGTAGATGAATCAATTATTGATATAAGAAATCATTTATGAAAGGTGTGACCAGTGTATATGAATGTGCTTAGCAGCAATAAACCTGCCAAGCATTTATTATTTATACACAGTAATTTGCAAATGCATCAAGACCAGTGTTCTCATTGCACTGAATTACTAATATTACATTAATATGTAGTCCTTTGTGATCTATTTCTATGCAATGAAAGTCAAAATTCGCAATTTTAATGTGAACGTGTTGTAATATTCTTGTCAGAAATGATAGAAATATGCTGTGGCAGTTTTTATCTTACATTTACAGTAAATCCATAGGCTTCTACCTACGAATGATTAAAATAACCACCAGGTTTCTCTTCATGATGAATAATACATAACTTGTGCAAAAAAAAAAAAAAAAGTGCAAACGCTGGATAGCCAAGTGGGAACTGTTTATACATTGTCAAAAAATGTCAAATACATAAAACCACCCTGGTGTTGCCTAGAAAAGCTGGTCCTTCAAAACTCTTGAGAGTCGTCACAGACGAGCTAACAATTACTCTGAAGGAGCAACAGTTCAGTTCAGTTCAGCTGAGAACAGAGTAAAGGTGAGCCAGTCAACCATATCAAGAACTCTACATAATACTGGCCTGTATTGGAGGGAGGCACAAAAGAAGCCACAGCTCAAAAAGAACCATGCAAAAGCCTGTCTGGAGTGCATGATAGTGACAGAGTTGCAGTCAGATTTTTTTTACTAAAAAATGGAACTGTCTAGATAAAAAAAAAAGGGGGGAAAGTTATTAGAATATATTAAATAAAAATAAAGTAATCTATCTATAAGTTTTTACTGAAATTTTTTTATTTTTATTTTTCAGTTTAATGTTAGTTAAAATAGTATTTTTGTTTGTTTTCATGTGTTTTACATTTTTATTAGTTTTTTAATGTCTATATACTTTTTATTATTTTCTTTTTATTTATTTATTTACTTACGTACATATGTACGTACAATTTTCTGTTTTAGTTTGAGTTATTTTAGTACTTTAAGTTAAACTAAAATAAAATGACAAATGGCTTGGCAACTAGCTGAAATAATCTAGATTTAAGACTAACATATTTGAAATTTAGCTAACATTTATTTTATTTCAAGCAACGATTTTTTTTTTAATGGTTTTAGTTCTAATTAACAATAATAACCCTGATACGGTATTAGTTATTCATTAATTGATAAAAATACACACTTAACCTTTAATATAATGATTAAATATTTATAATTAAATTAATTAATTAAAATTATATAATGTCATGCTGTAATGCCGGATTTGTAATTCAGTAAAATGAGAGAATTGGTCAAGGGACTGAAAGTATGTTAATATTCAAACTACTTAGGTCATTACGCCCTACTCTTTAGCACCATGAGCACAAACTGTATCTTTTAGCGTCTGCGTCAGCCAAAGACTTCACACTAGCTGGTGATGAGGTGTGTGGGCCGTCACACCACGCTGCGCTGCTGTTGAAAGAACCATGTGCTCCTGAGAGAGAGAAACGTGATACTCACGGACATGCTCGGTTTTGAAGACCAGTGACTGGCTGCCGTCGCCTTCGCCCTTGCCGTTAATGGCAGACATCTTGACTTCGTAATCGGTTTCGGGTTTAAGGCCGGTGACTGTGACTGAACTCAGTCCTGCTGGGAAGCAACGAGAAGCAGATTTAATCAAAAACCCATTAATCAATTCATAAACAACAGCATGCATGTTAAATGGGCAACATAAAACCTTGCCACTGAACATGAGGAAATACATTTGACATTTAAAGCTTCCCAGCGTAGATTGATGCTGCCATTCAACATCATAGCTAAAACATTACTTAAAGGGATATTTCACCAATAATAAAAAGTCTGTAATCATTTATTCACTCTCATGTTGTTCCTTCTTCTGCAGAAAAAATGTTATCTTGAAAAACGTTGGTAACCCAATAGTTTTGGTTACCATTGACATCCATTGTAATAAACTGACATTTCTCAAAATATCTTCTTCTACTGTATGTTACGTAGAATAAAAGTCACACAGGTTTGGAATGACATGAGGGTGAGTAAATGATGACATTCAGCTTTTCCATTACAGGAATACATTACATTTTAAAATATATTCAAAAAGAAAACTGTTATTTGAAATTGTAATAATATTTCACAATATTACTATTATTATTATTATTATTATATTATTAATTTTTATTGCATTTTTGATCAAATAAATGCAGCCTTAGTGACCATAAAAGGCTTGTTTCAAAAAACATTGAAAATCTCATTGACCCGAAACTTTTGAATGGTAATGTATGTTAATGTGACCACAGATATGACATCAATACCATCATTTCTGAATTAATAATTTTTAAAGTATAGTTTCCAAAATGGTCTGTAACATGATTGTTAAAATACTACATCTATATACTATTCTCTTATTTCAAAAGAACAAGAAATATTCTGTGCTTCTATGATACAGTTTAAGTCCATTATTAAAGTCGACAAACCATGCAGTGTTGATAATCCACATAATATGGATGGTTTTCTCCATTTTATGTGACAGACTCACCGTCTTGCACCTCATAGACTCGCTGCACCCATTTCCCTCGGCCCACGGCTCTCCACTCAGCTCGGTACTTGAGCACAGGAACTCCTCCAGTGGACTCGGGCTCCTCGAAAAGCACCTGAGCCGTGCTGGAGTACGGCTGCACTTGTCACACAGGTTTGGAATGACATGAGGGTGAGTAAATGATGACAGAATTTAAATTTTTGGGTGAACTATGCCTTTAACATATATTACAGGGTCAATTTTATTACTTACTGGACCATTTATGGGACATAAGCAGAATACATTTCTAGTAAATTGGATGTAAAACCATTCCTAAATCAATTGTTTATTTTCTGCTTGTGTTTCGTTACATGCAAACCTAATTCATTCACAGAAATAAGTTCACAAAATAATTGCATAATAAATACTATACACTTTTGTTTCAAATTGATTTATTATTTTCCTTTAATCTAGTTATAATGTTAAGGTTCTGGCACCCAAAAACAGACAATTTAGTTTTTCATGATCATTCGAAAAGCACCTGAGCCGTGCTGGAGTACGGCTGCACTTGAGTGATGGACGGCGCCGAGGGCACATCTGCATCACAGGGGAGACACTTTACAATACACAGTGGGAAAACTGCACTTTAACAGCTTATGCCCAATTATACGGCCTGATTGTACGGCTTTGTGCTTCAGCACCACTTTTACAGGAGGAAAATTTGAGCTATTGTATTGCACTTTATTGAACAAAGTCTACAATTGCAGGTAATTCAAAAATACAGTACCTCAAAAGCAAAAAGCACCCAAACACTGTCAATGCGATTTTCTACTGCCATAAATGACTATATTGTGTTTGTTTTGAGATCAATACAGAGCAACAGACCAGCTGGGATCACGATGAACTCTTTGGATTCGGTCCCGATCTCATTGGAGGCAGTACAGTTGTAGTTGCCAAAGTCGCTCTGAGACTCTGGATTGACCTGGGACAGATCAAGCGAATGCATTAACCTCTAGTCTCTATCTCAGCATTTATCTTTCAAACATGCATTTTATCACTGTCATTCCATTAGATGTGTATTTACTCCTGACAGCATTCTCCCTGTGCTAAAATACTGATAAGACGCATAGGCTGCAGTGATGCCCTACAGCAGCACTATCCCTTTCTGGGTGAAGCTCACAAAAACAGGTCCAGGTCACATTTCACCCCAAAATCAAAGTAAATAATAAAAAAAGTGGGTAAAATATTTAAAATACAGAAAATGAAGCTCGTTTTCAAAACCATATGGAGTGTTCAAATCGTTCTTGTGTACATCGACTCAAATTTCATTCACATGAAATCTGTGACTGCTTTCCCGCCTACTATAAACTAACTACAGCAATAAGCAAACAGCATTTGGGTTTACGCTGTAAGGGAAATAAACATTACATTGGTTGGACCTACTGAATGAACATATCCAGTCTAAACTAGTGGTATTTATATACTATTACAGTTTTCATTAACATTTTGAATTAGCTTTTATTTTTGTATTTTTCCATTTTAATTTTAGCTTAAGTTTTAAAAACATTTCTATAAAATGTTTTGCTTGATCATTTTATTTATTTTTTAAATATTACTAATAAAGTTTTAGCAATTTTGTTTGTGCTTTTGCCATTGTGATTTTAGTTGAATTTTTTGTCATTTTGTTATATGCGTTTGACATTTTATCTTTTTTTTTAGTTAGTTTTAGTCATTTCTGATGTTTGTTTAGTTTAATTTTTCATGTAATATTTATATATTATTTCAACTTTATTATATAATATGATCTAATATAATATAATAGAGGATATGCATATTTGGATAATGGATGGATGGACGCATAATCTTTATAATATAATATAATATAATATAATATAATATAATATAATATAATATAATATAATATAATATAATATAATATAATATAATATAATATAATATAATATAATATAATATAATATAATATAATATAGAAACCACATTTCTTTCTTTTATTTAGGGGCGAAATCTAAGCAGCACATATTGTTTGTCCAGTTTTCATCCATCTGGGTTCATGTGAATGTTTATGTTCTCATGAAGGTGTCTGCGTGGGTTGTACCTCCAGGTAGTTGGCGGAAGGCGTGTTATAGATCTTGATATTGGAGATGTTAGCGTTAGGCAGCTGGACGCCGTCTCGCAGCCACGTAATAGACACATTGCTGGGGTGAGCCAGCACTTCACAGCTGATGTTGGCTGGGTTGCCCTCCCACGTGTACACCGTTACTGAGCCCAGGATTTTCGGGGCGTCTGTGATGAAAGGCAAAGCATAAACAAATAAAAACAAACAAACCTGCCGGTAGCCCTGACCCTTCATCTACCTACCACCCCTCTACATCCGCTAAGGGAGAACGAAGCCTCCCCTCTCATTACCGCTGATGCCTTTATTCTGAGAATACGGTGGTTAAAGATCAAAATGTCCAGGGCTTAAACGTAGAGTGCTGAAAACACAGCGCTGTGTGATGTTGAACACATCTGTTCACGGCAGTACATAAAAGCCAATCACGCTTCACTGGCTTCAAAAGGCCCCTCCTCCGAGCAGCGTCCCTGAATAGCATGCTGGGGGGAGACTTCAGGCACGATGCTCACATGACATACGCGATTGGGCCTGCGTTCCCTCACAGACTGCGTGTGAATAGCTCCCGGCCCGCTGAGATACTGTTCTCACATTCATCAGAGCTTCAGATGTCATTAGTCCCATCACAACAATACACGCCTGGTACAAATGCACTAAACATGCGAAGAGGGAGGCTGGTATTTTCACAGCATACGCCGGCGCTAATGTGAAAACAAATACAAATAGGCGCAGTGGGGGCAGCACAATGAGAGCGAAAATGGGTGGTAATGCTTTGTTTGCTATCGATAGCAATTAAGACATTGAGGGAAGAGAGTTCTCCATTTCTGATGTTACATCAATATAAGAATAGTAGAAACAGAAGTAAATTGGTCCATTTTTGGTCTGAACTTTGTCTTTGTTAGCAGAATTTAGTGCTTAGATTAAATGCTACTGGATATTTAATTTGAGACAAACAAAAACAATATTAGGAGTTTGTTCACAAGCATAAATATCTGCAGTATATATGCACTAAACAGACCAAACTTCTAGCATTAACTGCCTCATTTTCATTAATCAAAAATGGCATTTATTGTTCTAACCAGACATGACACAACAAAACATCAAACAATAAATTTGGTCTCTTCCATGCAAATCCTAACCACTATTTTGCTAACCAGCTTGATTAGCAACAGGACATTTTGTCGGTCACTGGGTTTTTATATGACGCGTCAAGCTAGGTAACCCCACCCACTGTAAAATATCATTGGTCTAAAATTCAGCTCCAAATATCAGATATACAGATATTGTTGACCAGTCAATCACTGTTAATAATTGAATCCATTAAGCTTTTCTAGCATCAATTAATCAATTTCACCCTCAAAATGAAAGTGCACTGAAAAATGTATTAGAAAAACACCAATATTAGCATTTCTTAAGCAAATGTATTAGAGATGCACGTTATATTGGTTACATATTGGTTATTGGCTGTTATTAGAGATTTTTTTTTTAAATTACCAGTATTATACTCCATATTGTATATCAGCCAATACTGGATATTTAATTGTGCATGCTTATTTCTTCTGTTCTTACTTTTTGATTCCTTTTGCCAACATCTAACACTCACTTAAAGTTGATCTTTAAAATAATAATAATAATTCATTATAAAGGTGAAAAATGTTGGTTGACCGAAACGTTGCTCATCAAAATATTTTTGTGATGATGCAAATATAAGTAATGTGTGGGATTTATATTTTTCTTTATATTGTAATTTCATCCAGTGCAGCTATGATTGACTCAGGTGTCCAAGGCACAATATATTTTTTGGATTATACTTATTAGTGAAATTTACATTAGCCATCAGTTATCAGTTGTTTGCCATGAAGGAACTAAGGATCCTCAAATGCAAACTGTGTGTGTTTTGCTTCAAGAGAGCAATCATACACTTGCTGCCGTGTGTTTTGAGTTTGAGCTCCGTCAAGTTAATTCTTTGTCGTCTAATTTTTTTATCTTAAAATCAATTTTATACACGACACAATCTGTATTGTTAAAAGCGCTATATAAATAAAGGTGACTTGACTTGACTTGACTTGTTGTTTTACTTTCTTTCTTTTATATTAATTTATTCATTCATAATAATTTATCATTTTATCATTTCATTTAATCATATAATCATTTATCAAGTACCAAAAATAAAAATATCGGTATCGGGCGAGTACTGGAAAAAGTGGTATCGGTGCATCCCTAATAATAATCATTATAGCCATTTATATACTAATTTCATTGATTTATTAATTGACTAGTTATTTATATTATATTATTGTTTTTTTTATATTATTTTTCCAATGTTGTTTAGTGTTATGATGTGTGGTTTCAAGGGATGTTTGTCCTCATGAATAAGAGATAAGAGGCAATATTTATGGAAATTCAAGGTTTATGGGATGCTGTTGTGAAGCAGTTTGGTATCACACTACTGAGCACTGAAACATACGCAACTAAAACTATTCAGTAAACTCTGCTCCTTTTTTATCATCATCACTGCATCTCCTGCTTCTGCTCTTCACTGGCTTTTCTCAGTCAACTGCTTGGCTGATAGAAGACTGTTAATACAGTTTTGGATACCAGACAAACACTGGTTTTTGGAACCAGACAAGACTTGCTGTTAACGGTTTTTTGATATTAGACAATTTTGCTGACTAGTTGTTCTGTTATCAGACAAAACAGATATTTTCTGACAGGATCTGGCATCCAGGGCTGAATCTGATATTTCTGAAATGGAGGCATGATCTAACAGCCATCAGTTATTATGTTCAGTTACTGGCCATAACATGGAAAAAAAAAGCAAGAATATTAATATATGTGCACCCTGATAATGTCGAGGGGTGGCTGTAGTTTTGATACATTAACTAGCATTCTCTACTGAGTTGCCATATGCTCTCTGGACTGCAGCCAAATGAAACATATGCCTCTGAGGCAACAGTACGTGTGACTGATAGAAGCTAATGAGGCTACAGATACTATAGACTCACAGCGCACTTCCAGATACACAGGCTGCGCCATCTCTCCGATGGCGTTGCGGGCGGTGCAGAGATACTCGCCGGCGTCGGTGTACTGAGCGTACTTCAGGGTGAGAGAAGACACACGGGCGTCACTGCGGACCAACACGTCACCATCAGGATTCTGAACACAGAGACAAGAAAGAAAAATTCCCTGAAAAACTCATACTTTTCACTTCCTTCAGCCATTAAAACAACAGTTTCCCAGAAATGTATATTCTGTCATCGTTACTCACCCTCATGTTGTTTTAAACACATATGGCTTTCTTTTTCCAGCAACACAGGCTGTCAAAACGCCCCTCAAAAAAAAGCACCATAAAAATTGCTGTATGGCTTCAATAGACTTTAAATATAGCACAAAAGACATATGAACTACTTTTGGGTACTTTTATGGTGCTTTGATACTTTAATTTGGTCCTTTTGGGAGCTTCTTGTCATAATATGCTTTCATTTTGTGGACAAGAGCAACTCTAGATAATCTTTTTAGATAGTATTTTGTTTTCTAAAGAACTTTTGGAATATACGTCAAGATGAATAAATGATGACAGAATGTTAATTATGGGTTAACTATTCCTTAAAATTAATAAACAGGTTTGCCATTATCTTCCTAAACGTATTATATAGTTTGCAAATAACGCCACTTCAATGCAATAAATAAATAAAAATAAATTTATCTACTTTCAGAGAAAATGGCCAATTGAACAATTCTTCATTTTTAAGTATGTGAGGATTGAAACAGGCTGTATCAGAGAAGCAAACCCGGTAAAAAGAAGGTTTGCTGAACAGCAGATATAAATAAGAGTCTTTTATATGCTGAGTCTTGGAACGAAGATGTGAGGGGGGAACATCAATAATGCAGACCATAAGGTAGGGGAAGCAATTTCTAATCCGTTGTTACTTCAAAAGCAATGTCACATGATCTCAGCTGGCTTGGACCATTTTACAACATCCCAGTGCTCATTTTAAAGACAAGCATAGATCTTAACATGCCAAGCTTGCATTTTCTTTTAGCTTGCTGTTCCACTTAACCTTGTGGTTCTTATGAAGATGAGTGGCATCTATAACCAACGTCTCCTCAATGACTGTGCAATTTGCATATAGCGGGGGAGTCAAACACACAGGGGCCCATGGGGGGGGATACAGCTTGTGGAGGAGTCTGATCCGATCCACAGGTTGAGTTGAGAAAACTAAACAAAAGAAATGTTATTTTGCTTTATACATAAATGTTTGATTTGACACGTAAGGATGTTTAGATATGTTACTGGAAAACAAGACAAAATACGGGTTATATATATAAACTACTGTACTGTTGGAGTTTTTCTAATGCTTTTGAAAGATTTCTTATGCTCAGCAAGGCTGCATTTGTTAAAATACATTAAAAACTATAACATTGTGAAATATTATTATAATTCAAAATAACTATTTGATATTTGATTATATTTGATAAATATAAAAGTTCACAATAACAGCATTTATGGAATTTTTTTTTAATAAAAGTACTAATTTCTTCCAAAGAGAAATCTTACAGACTATCAGTGTTGGGGGTAACGCTAGTTACGTAATCAGAATACATAACAAGTAAAGTAATGCATTAATTTTACAACAAAATATCTGAGTTACTTTTTCAAATAAGTAATGCAAGTTACTTTGTTTTCCTATTTATTTATTCACTGACACCTCTCCTGTCCCGTGTTGCGAGAAATTGGGAGTGAGGGGCAGAGGCACTTCATTCATACTGAGGCTTATTCATTTCACTTTTGGTGTGAAAGGGCCTTTACAGTTGCCAAAAATATAAGTTTTAGGTTTTTTTGTTATTAAAAAACAAATAAGCAAGACCAGCCCAGGTGAAAAAAGTAACACAAAACTAACGTAATGCAATTAATTCATTGTTTTATGGAGTAACGCAATACAGTAATGCATTATTTTTAAAAGTAACTCTCCAACGCTGCTGACTTTTATGTTATATATAATTATTTATTATTATTCATATTATATATATTTATGAAATATAAAGTTGCGTTTAGTCTAAAATAATGACTTTACACCCCTGGTGTAAAACGTTGCGATCATGTTGTACTTAAAAAGCAGTACTAGTGTAAGACAGAACAGCAAAGAGTGCTGAGATCTAGCGCATAGCGATACAAAAATGTATAAAAAGAAAAAAAAATGAGGAAGTGATTTGTAACAGCTATTCAAATTTCGTTCATTAGAGAGAGAGAGAGAGAGAGAGAGAGACTATTTGCAGTGCAAAAAACTGAATACTTGGGCTGAACAGATCTCAGAATGGGTGGAATTAACTCACTTTTCCTTCACACACGCACACAATCTCAGACAGGACGGTAATGAGGAAGACTTCATCAAGCACAACATTAGTATTCCCCGCTCCACTTGAAACTGAAAAAACTCCTCTCTCTACATTTCTGGTCAGCTGCTGCCCCTTCCACAAACTTCGCTATGAATGAACTCGGCAGAAGCTTCGTGTCAGAGACAATAATCATGCCGATGTTGTCCCAGGACTGAGTCACGCTTACATATTGGCCTTTTCATCCAAAAACCACCCAACAGCCACCCAGCAGAGCTGACTGGGCTAATTGAATAACCTCCTAATGGGAGCGCTGAGCCCCGTCCAGCCCATTTCCGGCCCTCTTTCCCACAGTTTCCCTCTCTGCTGTGGTCAAATGGCCAGACCGTGACCCCCTGTGCCATAGGACGTGCTCTTGTCTCTGGAATCTGGTTACTATGTGGTACTGGGGTCAGACCGCGGTCTGTAACACTGAATCTCTACGACAAACAGCTATACATTTCAATCAGCACATTCAACAGACTTTATCTCCCTTTCTTCTCAGATAAGGCTCTATTTATTCATTTGCAACGTGAGAACGCCATATCATTAAAGTTTTAGAGCCACAGTTTTCAGCAGAAAGGTCTTTTTAATAATGCACGCTTGGATGGAGGTGGTTTCCTCAAATGTCTATTTTTGTAAGGATGGAAAAGGAAAAGTCTCGGTGTGAACAACAACAAAAGCACTTTGTGCAACATCAATTACTTAAAAGAAAAAAATCATCACATAACACTAACAAAAAAGGACTTTATAAAGCTTTATCAAAATATGAACCCTTCAAGAATGCAGTCTAATGATGTCATAATGAAAAGAAAAATGATGTCATAATGACGTAATTGATTAGACACAGAATGGAAAAGAGGCCATGCACTGAATATAGAAAGTGAAAACTACAACTACATCATTCCACTCTCAGATTAAACAAAGCTGTCATCGTAATTCAGTTGACAGATCTGATGAGATTTCAGAGATTTGATCTGATGGGAAAGAAAGAGGTTTATGGAGTTGATGGCTATCTTCATAATTTAGTTTATGGAGACATGGATATGGAATCTCTACCTTGTGCTGTTCAGGTCGAGTCCAAGAGGCCTGCAAAGAACACAGACAAAACAACACAAAGAGGCAAAGCAGTCCTTTAGAAGGAATCCTCTGTTATTGAGAATAAAAGCACTGCACATTAAAATACATTTGTTTATTGATTAATTGTATGGACTAAAAGTGAAATATTACAAAGGTATATTGCAAAAAATAAACATGAAATAATAATAATAATAATAAAACATCATATTACGAAGCAGATTAAATGATATGTTGTTTTGCTCTTATTTTAGCATTACTCACTCATTCAGTTAAACAGTTGTTTATTCTGGTTAATTCAGTTCTGCTTACACATACACCATAAAATAATAAAACAAAAGTAATATAAAAATTATTGTTGCTTTACGAAAAAACATAGGCAAAAAAAAATAATAATTTAATAATAATTAAAAAAAAACATCCGAATTTAATTGAAAACAATATGAATTTACTTGAAAAGCAAAACTGAGAAAAATTCATCTTTTAGTAAGTGTTTTTTTATTAGATGTTGACCGGTTAATCAGTTATGCCGATTAATCGGCACCGATAGTCGATTGCTGGAACAATAGTTTAATAGTTAATAGTGGAACAATAGAACAATAGTTATGTGTCCTTTTATCTCTCAAACATATGTACTTCCTCTTTTACACATACACACTGTGAAGATGCTACTTCTGGTGAGGAACTGACACCAGACAGCTAGACAAAAACATATGCACATATTATTTGCACCTCATAAGCAGCAATTATATTTATTTCATACCATATAAGGTAACGTATAACTCCTGAATACTTTGATTGGATGTCCGAGACATTGTTTGCATAAATATTTTATTCCATTTTAAAAGTATGGTTCAGTATGTTTTTTTTTTAAATTTTATTTACTTTTTATTTTACTTTATTTCAGCACTGTTTTTTATATTGTTTTTCGATAAGGTTTTAGTTTTCATTCAGTATCAATTTTAAAAACAATCGGTTGATTAATCGGTTATCGGCCAGTGTTGTCCAACTTAGTTAACGGTAAAATCCACTGCTGGTCAACCTCTAGTTTTTATTACCCTTTTGGCAATTTTTTTTCTCCTTTTAGTGAGGTTTAAACAAGACTTATTATCCATAATTTTGCTTCTCAAGAAAGTTTATTTTGTTTTAAGGGCATTTAGATATTTATACTGGAAAACTATATAAAACACTGATAAAAAATGATTTTTGAGGTGCATTATGATCTTAAAAAGAATGAGTTCTTTAAAAAAAAAAAAACTTCAGTGTTATTAATAACAACATTAAAAAATACAATAAAATGCTGTAAGTAATGACTTCTTTTACATTTTGCAGATAACAGGACCACTACATTTCTACACTCTCAAGAAAAAATAAAAAAAGTACAAAACGTTCACTGAAGCGATACCCTATGGTACAAAAGCTAAGAGGTACAACTTTGTGTCTTATTTACCTCTAAATGGTACATATTAGTACCTAAAGTAAACACAGATAAACACTTCATGCAATCACTTTCCCTATGAAAGTGGCTGAAGTTTTCTGTGGACTCACGGCACTTCACGCGGAGGCTGAGCGTGCACATGCTTAGCAACACGATGCAATGGACAGGAAACCGCTTGACATGCTAGAACACATTGAGATTATCACCAGACAAAACACACGAAGAGCAACAGGCGCTAATCGAACGATGCCTGAAATGGTCTGCGCTCTGTGTTAGTGCACTTGAGCACAACAATGTGTCTCTGTACCATGCTTGCAACAACAAAAAAAGCCAAGAGTTGAACAGAGCGAGTCATTTTGCAAGAGCATCAGAAAAAAAAAGCGAAACTCTTGCAGGGTTATTATGATGACAGCAGGCTGAGTCTGCTAGTCTTGCAGCTTTCATTTGGCTAACTACCTCCCCGGAGACCCGCGTGGGATAAACAGTTATGATCAATGCCTTTATTCTACAATGCCGTCTAATTGCTACTAATTACAGTTAATATCTTAGTATAAACTGAAGCCCTAGGCTAATGACGAATGCTTGTATGCTATTTTCAGGCCTGATAAATTACCAGAACAAAATGAACAAGCTGATTATGTAAATGAAATGTTCAGGTTATTGTTGATATTATTACATGATGATTATTCTGATTACATCAGGTGCCCAACACCTCAGGCCTGCTCTGATCTCTCAAATGCACACAATGAATCTGTGATGATTACCATATGAATGGAGAACAAATCCATATGCGTAAAGCAAATCTAGAACTTGGCAGCTTATTCAAACGAGTTACTGAGGAGTGAATTATTGGTGTTAATTGTAAAATGCAAAACCACAAGTAGAAAAGTGTGTGCAGCGTAGTGAAGGAGGCTGGAGCACATATGGGATAAAGGCATGAAAGTGCCTTTTTCAAAAAGTATTACTTTCTTAATAGGGTCATATCAATCTTTTTTATTATTTTATATATTTGTTTTCATTGGGATTCTCTATGTTAGTATAGGTTTTTGAGGCAAAACACTTATAATTTACTCATAATGCTGCCCCCCACAAAAAATAAAAAAATTAGATCAGATTGAAATGAATAGGAATCATATTTAAATAAAATGTAGCTGCTTGTTTGGGTTCATTTGGGAGAAGAGTACATTAATGTTCAAAAGTTTGGTTTTTAAAGGAAGACTCTTATACTCAACAAGCTGCATTTATTTTCTCAAAAAATACAGTAAAAACAACAATATTGTGGATATTATTACAGTTTAAAATAACTATTTTAATATATGTTAAAATGTAATTTATTCCTGTTATGTAAATCTGAATTTTCAGCATCATTACTCCAGTCTTCAGTGTCACATGATCCTTCAGAAATCATTCTAATATGCTGATTTTGATGCTCAAGAAACATTTCTTTTTATAATTAGTGTTGAAAACAGTTGTGCCGCTTAAATTAATAGTTCAAAGGAACATATGCATAGTGAATCGCACATGAACTGACATCATAATTTTTTTTTTTACAACAGAGAGGGAGGAGGAATTAAATATCCTTTTAATATTTTGGAGGAAACAGAGATACATTTTTTCAAGATTTTTGATGAATGGAAAGTTCAAAAGAACAGCATTTATTTTGAATAGATATCTTTCTTAAAGGGGTCATGGCTGCCGCCATGTCGTGAAGACGCTGTGTGCTTCGTTGTGAAAGCGAAACTACTTTGTTTGGTCTTCCAAAAGAGGACGATATCTGCTTCGTCATGCCTAGAGCTGATCTTTGCTGGTCGCTGAGGAAATACATCAACTTAGTGCTGTGGATCGCCGGATCGGCTTTCACCTATGAGGCACTGGGCTGGACAAAAGTGAAGCGAACGCGGAGAGAGAGAGAGCGACAGTTCACGAGAGAGGCCGAGTGTGTCCGAGAGAGAGCGAGATGCGCGAGAGAGACCGAAAATGTGCGCGAGAGGGACAGACAGTGCGTCCGAGAGAGAGCGAGAGTGCGCGAGAGAATGCAGACAGGGTTTTATGTTTACGCGGCGCGATGCAACGCAACGTGTAAAATGATAGTATAAGTCATTATAATCAGTAATTATGTCCCCACTGGATGCAACAAATGCCTCGTTTGTAATGGGTTTTAATTTTTTTGTCTCGTTGCTCCGGCCGGACACAGCATCAACAGTATGGTGAGGGGCGTAACATTTCCGTCACACGCTTGAGGTATTCGGCCAATCACAACGCACTGGATAGCTGGCCAATCACAGCACACCTCGCTTTTCAGACCGATGAGATTTGTAAAAATCGACGCGTTTCAAAAAGGTGGGGCATAGAGGAGAAACAATAATGTACAGTATGTGGAAAATAATGTGTTTTTTTTAACTTTAAACCGCATAAACACATTTCATTACACCAAACACACAAAATAATTTTCTTTTTAGCAGCATCATATGACCCCTTTAACATTATAAAAGTCTGTTTCTTGTGATCAATTTAATGTGTCTTTACTGAATAAAACCTATAAAATTATATTTTTTCTTTGGGATAACACTGGGCATTGTCTTTTTTTATTGTGACTACTAACAGATCATTAACACCATAAATATGCAGCAAATTTGTCCTGAAATGGCATTTTCGGCTGCTAACCTGTTATGCCTTTTATACTTGTGAAGGAGAGGTAACAGTGTATTCTTTAGGTGAGAGAAAACACCACTGCTCTGAAAAAGCAAAAACACTTCAAGCTAAATCTTGGAAATCTGCTCCTACTTCACACCGTTCACTTAATTTGTTTGGAAGGACATGCAGAGCAGCAGCTGCTACACAGCCAGACACAGCACAAGTTTTCTGCTGCTGGTTTTACTCTTATAATTAGCATTTTGTTGTTAGGAAGGGAATAATATCTTCTATTCTGCTTTCTCATTACATTATCATAACTGGACAGACCAAATTTTTGAATCAGTGTCACTGATGTGATACCAAAAACCTGGAGATTTCAGAACAAGTCGTTTCTGCAGCTTGGTTTAAATAAAAGGAGTTTTAAATTCTTAAAGTGAGTATTTTCATAGTACAATAAATTCTTTCATCTCAGAAGATCAAAGGGAAATTGATTACTCCTATGAAATGATCCCTTCAATACATTTCTTTTAATTTTCTAAATCAGAAATGCAATAATTAATAACGTGCCACAGACACTGATGAGAGCGCAAAATTTGTATTTAACCTGGAAGATTCCTTTAAACTATTCCCTCTTGCAGGATAAAAAAACATCAACACGGCTGCTGTGAAAATCCTATGCTCCAGTGGAGCTACCATGAGAGGGACAGTGTCCATATCTCCGTTTCATCAGATCAGCTACAGTTTGCCAGGAAACACTGTTTACCAAGCTCAGGGGATAGGTGGCTTTTCACTGGCTGTGGGGTCACTGGCACAAATGAACAAAGCTATCAATGACGGCACTAGCATAGGGCATTCATCTGAAAGAGCATTGTGTCTGAAAACAAGAGCTGCCCTACACATGCCCTGCTCTTCCTGGAGTGTGTCTGTGGGGTTTAGGAAT